GGTATTTATTACTTATTTCAAAAATAGATTAGGGTGACAAAAGATGGCATTTGAAAAATCCATCTCTAATGGGTATACAGTAAAAAAAAGTCTTGAGATCAGAGAAAATTAATAGTGGATAATAAATTTTGATTTGAAATATCCATAGTTACCATTTAAAATGCATAATGTTCTTTTTAAATGCAAGGGTTTATGAGTTTAGGGTTGTGTACTTTTTTTCTTTATTTAAAAAAAACAGTGATTCTTTTTTTTTTTACTATCGGTACGGTAGTTGGATTTTCTGATTTTTTTTTTTTTCCTGTGACATTCTTACTGTGACTTATTCTACATTCTTCTAATGTACCATGTGTGCTAGAACCAAGGTCATATTTATACATATATGTTGTATATTCCACTTATTATAAATACATGTACACTTCATTTATAAATATCATCATTACAATTGGTGATACCATATGTTGTATTAGTACATATGGTAAACTGAAAATTTAACAAATAAACACTGGTAAAGTTGTTGAAACTGGTGAGCTGCTTTCAAAAGGTTCATTGTACCTCGTTGGTTGTCAATAACTATAGATTAAAAGAACACTGTGTCATAGAATTGTAATCCCTGTACAGAAATCAGACTTCAACTCTACTAGAACTCACTCAACCAGAAAAGTCATAAGCCTATTCCAATTTATTCACCAAACATCGATGAACACTGTTTCTGTGTTTTGTCCCAGTTCTTGTGTGAATTTTCAACTAAATAGTATGAAATAGTACCTTATACATGTATGCACGAAGAGCCCTGTCTCGTTTTTTTTTTTTATCCAAACTGGTCATCAGGTCACTTGTTTTGTTTTGTTTTGTTTTGTTTTGTTGTGAAGTTCAGACTACCATATATGAGTACTGATGATACAGTATTTAGCCATATTTATTTTGTTTAGCCATATCCATTGGTGAATAGACGTTTGAAGCAAAGTAGATCTTGTTGAGGGTAAGAGCACCATGTGACTGTTTTTTGTCTTGCAAATAGTGTTATAGCAATCTGAAAAATTCGAACAAAACTGTAACAAATTTATAACGTATTAAGAAGTTATTATAATACAGAACATTCAATATGTTTAGTTAATATGAAGATTTTTGTACTTTATTAATATTTATAAGAAGTGAGAGAGATTTTTGGCTATTGAATTCGACCATTGTCGGTGAGCATCGGCTAATGGCACGGTTATAGGTGAGCATCGGCTAATGGCACGGTTATAGGTGAGCATCGGCTAATGGCACGGTTATAGGTGAGCATGGGCATCTGGCAGATGCTGTTATGAAAGGTCACAATGTATGGATTTATTTCAACCAACATACAAACAAAACACGCGTACATGTTCGAACAGCAGCTGAATGCAACGTGGCATGTACAATGACCCTCCCTCAGGCATTATAGGGAAAACTTAATTTAATCACACAATAGATTGGCTACTCTGATAAGAAAATCACTACTGGGTAAGAACAATACATGAGTGGTCTGACTAGACAGTAAAGATAATAAATGTGTTTCTGCCTGCCCAAATATGTGGAAGGATTTCCTGTGTGTATTGTTAGGAATCAACTTGGTGTAAAATTTGTTATGGTATGGTAATGAACTTGAATGTGAAATAGACTTGGGATTGCACGACAGACAGTGAAAATCAGGGTAGACTAGGTTGTGTACACTGACGAATCTCACTTCAATATGAACAGATTATGGTAGTAAGACAGATCTCAGATTGTATAACTCATTGATGCAATGCTGTAAATCAGTTAGATCATTGTATAACTCAGTAATGCAATGCTGTAAATCAGTTAGATCATTGTATAACTCATTGATGCCATGTTGTAAATCAGTTAGATCATTGTATAACTCATTGATGCAATGCTATAAATCGGTTAGATCATTGCATAACTCATTGATGCAATGCTATAAATCAGTTAGATCATTGTATAACTCATTGATGCAATGCTATAAATCAGATCATTGTATAACTCATTGATGCAATGCTATAAATCAGATCATTGTATAACTCATTGATGCAATGCTATAAATCAGTTAGATCATTGCATAACTCATTGATGCAATGCTATAAATAAGTTAGATCATTGTATAACTCATTGATGCAATGCTATAAATCAGTTGGGTCATTGTATAACTCATTGATGCAATGCTGTAAATCAGTTAGATCATTGCATAACTCATTGATGCAATGCTATAAATCAGTTAGATCATTGTAAAACTCATTGACGCTATGCTATAAATAAGTTAGATCATTGTATAACTCATTGATGCAATGCTGTAAATCAGTTAGATCATTGC